GCAGCATTTATTTTGCGTTGTAATAGCGGATTAAGTACATTACGTCTCCTCTCTTAAAGTGTTTAACACTCAGTTCGATGGGAGGGCCAAAGCCTTGCCGCTTCTTCTCAAAGCAAGCACAAGCATCCTGAACCTAACATTTTTTCGGCGCTAGGCTCCGGCTGCATCCATTGCTCCACCCGGGACACTGATTTTTCTGCACATTAGAAGTTTGAAGATTGAGAACTACGAAATCAACAGAGGAAAGAAATAGTTTTTAGTTCTTATGAATGACGAAATAAGATTAGAACATCACGATACATAACAATTGTAAAAACTAGGAGGGTTGATAAGATTTTCATTAGAAAAAAGGTGTAATTTTCAAGATAAAAACTGACTTTGAAAAGGGCCACAAAGCGTGAAGAGTAAGTGTTGAATGCTATAACTGTTCCTTTCACAGCTTTAATATGAGGCCTACATCGTTGATAGTAGTAGTCTATGATTTAGAATTAAATATAGAAGCATCCGTGTCAAATAGCTTTGAGTAGTGAAAGTGAAGAGAACATAGAATATGATTCGTTACAATGAATTTCATAAAAGTTCGCGGTTGCTATTCCCAATTTGATTCTGAGCAGGATGATATATAGATGTTGGAAGTATCGTTGAGTATGAGCCAAGATATTCCACCAGAGCCAAGCGCTCCTTTTAGCAAATGGCTCTCGTCGTTCTTTGCCGCCTCTCAAATTTGTACACTCTCTAAGCGACCGAGTCTCTTTCACGGAGCATTTGGCTTTGGTGCCCTTTTCTCCTTCAATCATGCATTAATGTAGGCAAATCGTATATCATTGTGAAGGTTTTAAAACCTACAATTAAATAGACAACTGCGCAACATTTATTTCTGGTCTGATTGGATGAAATGAGAAAAAGTATGTCTTTTGTTCTCCTCGACTTCTAGGTCAAATCATATTTTTAAGCCCGTTTTTTCACTCATTCGAAAGGAAACTTATCTACAAAAAAAAAGCTGACAACCGCGAAATTTCCATTTGATATCCAGCAAAGGACGACCAAAAACCCGTATTCTATGACTTGTTTAGAATTTATCGTGGTAGACTATCTCAGACTTAATTCAACATTACGCTGTACAACGCAAACCTCACCGCAAATTTCAAAAATCATAAATCTAGGGGAAAATTCAA